GATTCAGGTTATTGATTGTCAGTAGTTCCTATCCAGACCTGTTTCCTGAAGATCCTTCAAGAAAGGAATGTTAAGATATGAGGTCATCTGATGATGTGAATACACACTTCTTCTGAGTCCTGGTACATGTTCACTTTTGTCTATTAACACATGATGCAGGAGGAGCATCCATACTTACATCTTACTTCCATACCCAACATTATGAAATTTACCACTGTAAATTCTTGGCAAAGATAAAAATGTTGAAAGAATAAAACCAAAAATAAAGCAAATAAGACTCCAGCACAACAAGTGTAACAAATGATAGAAATTATTCCCAATGTTAGACAATCCTTTTTCTTGCATCAGAGAACTGTACAAAGACATAAATGTTTGCTTGATAATGTCATTCTTTAAAAACACGGTTTAATGATCCCTTTTTGCTTTTGGGAAGAGTCACATAACTCTACACTGGGAGGTGCTGACTACTTCAGAAAAAAGTGATCCCAACTCCCTCCCTGGCTCAGCTAGCATTTGTTGCTCTGCTTTGAGCCTGGTGCCCTAGACGTGTGCAGAAACCCTTAACACAAAACCGGCTACAGGTCTCCTGTTACTGTTCCTGTCGCTCCTGAAGCACCCGGCTGCTGCCTCCGACGCAGGGTAGTCTGGCAGGTAGTGGGAGAGGCAACAGAATTTCCTTCGGGTCAGATTTCTGAAAAGATATGGTTTGGCTTGCCCTGACACACAAAGTGCCATCAGTTGGTCATCTTAACCATCCAAGCTCTGCGGATTGCTGAGGATTCAGGGTTTGATGACAGTCTGGTGACTGCTACTCTCCAGCTGCAGCACGGTAGTCAGTTGGACTAAAGCAATTAACCACGAAGATTCAAAGCTTTTAAGACATATTTTTAATTTTCAGTCAGATGTGCCCTAAGCTTATCTCTAACCTCTCCTCTATTTACAGGTATAGTATACACCCACTTGGGTCTCTGAAGTGCAGTTTTCCACCCGCAGCTTTATGCAGATAGTGTGGAAGAAGATGACCCTGAGCAGATGAAACCCATTAGCACAGGATGCCTCAGTTTTAATAGATCAAAAAATAACTCTTAAGAGTTGTAGCAAAGAACCTCACTCAGATGCCCCTCAAGTATCAGATGTTAGCTGGGCAATGGTCCAACTCCTTTACATTTCAGGCCCTCTACCTTGGGGAAACCGATTAGGCATCAATAATGCACTCTCAAAGGGAGTGCTCACCTTAAATAAATCTTTACTTGTTGATTTGCAGCTCCAGCGTAATAAGCCGTTAGGATGTTTTACATATCTGACTCTCCTGTGTGTCTGCCACTCTACATCCCATACGCTTCTCTCTCTTCCCTAGCACCTCCCTCCCGGATAATGGGTACATGTTTTAGCCCTCTAATACCACTTGGGTTGCTTTTAGGTAACTTCAGTGTACAACACAGAAGAACTACTTCCAAAAGGAGACAGCAGATGTACTCTATCAGCTCTGCCAATTCTTTCATTCCGCTGATTCTTTCTGCAGTGCCTGACGCAGCATGGGGACCACTGCAACATTCAGCTATTACTGGAAGGACAGGCAGGCAGAACCCCAGCCTTGTCCAAAACGAGATACCTTTTCTGGCCTCTTCCCAGCCTTTCCTACTATGGATGCACCAGCTGGAGCAGGGGCCATCTCCTCCTCTGAGAACAGCACACCCACTGAATTACAATCGCCAGGAAATTCCTTCCCCAGAGTGCCCACTATATCCAGAGACTGTCTCAATCCCACTTGGATGCCTCTACACTACTTCTCATTCCAATCGTAAGAGTCAGAAAACGCAAGGTCAGAGCAAGGGAGCGCAAGTGCAAGGTTAGGTCATAGTTGAAAACATAGCTCCTTGATGGGAACCATCATCACTTGGAATTCCTTTAGGAAACAAAATACTGCCCTCAGCTACCCTTTCTACAGTCTTTAGGATTTAGGCTAGGGAGGTGAAAGACTAAACTGTAACATGGCAAAGCACATTTAATAAAAACACTCTCAGATGCTGTGACACAGCTGGAGTTGCCTACAAGCTGTGCAGATTGTAGCACTATTGCTGAATACTGTGGACAATCTGCATACTTGTTCTAGCTACCCTTTGCTGGCAGTGCTCTCCCCTGCATAAAGATATTAATAGCAATTAATCTCACGTAAGTCTAGTGTTAATCTCAATTTATGTTAGTGGCAAGCTTTGCCTTTTCACCCTATCAGTATTGCGCATGAAGCACTCTTACTAGACTTTATTTATTTTCCTAGTAAACACAATCTCGGAAAAGCTTTCCTATGCCCTCTGCTGGTTTTCTCAGGCATCCATTTTCAGCTTGGAGTTAAAACTTTTCCTTTAAAACACCAGTAGGTTTCCAAACCTCTCCTCCATTTTATTCTGACGAAACTGCAGTAAGACGTATAGGACAGAATCATGGGTGCAATACTATACAAATTGCCTCCTTCACCTTCTCTGTGACTTGCCAAATGACTATCAATTTTCGTTTTTGCTTACTTGCATTTCTTTCTGAACTAGACTGTTCAGGAAATTCAGGCAATCCCCATCTTTTCATAAGTAGCAGGCTTCTTTGAGCAAGTCTGCACAGAGAACAGGAGTTTCCTTTGGTTGCCCTTTCATGTTGAGGAGAGCTGCAAACTCCATGCACTTTCAGCCTGAATATTATGGACCTGAAGTCATTTGTCATTGGATCAATTATGTCCTTGTACTTCTGCCTTCACTGCCAAGACTCCTTTAACACCTACCTTTAAGACTTTAGCAACTGTACTAGGTTATGCCCAAGACTCTTCCAGGATAACTGTCCTGTCCTTAATGTAAGTTTTGGATATTCCACAAGTGTTCCCAAAAACTCCAGACTGAATACTGCTCTGATGCTCACTGCTGACTTACACTCGTATTCAAAGCCAGTTCAGCAGTCTTCAAGTTAAGATTCTGGTTAAGAAGTCTAAGCCTTCTATTTCTGCATTTTTGTGGCATTTAATCTTGCTCTATGTGTAAAGACAATTAACTTGTCCAGAAGCATAAGAACCTTTGACAGTAATCTCTAACTTCGAAGAAAAGGAGCCGTTCCCAAGGGCCAGATGCTGAGGCTTGACAAATAGAAGTAGGATATACCCTCAGTGCTAGAAATCCATACCATAATTGCAACTTGGGCCAAGTTATGAGTGTAATAAAGGATATGATGTCTTAGGATTCATATAGCTTGAGTCACATAGCTGAGACTAGATCTCTTCTAACTTTGAGAGTAAAGCCCAGTAACCGAGAGCAAACCCTCTAAAATAAATTCAAATGTGAGCCAGATGCAGCTATGGATACACAATGGCAGTAACTCTGCCTTGCCAGGAAAAAGGAGGTACTCATTTATCAACCCAACTTTAGTTTAACATTTGGTATGTGCACAGCCTTTATTTAAAACTCTCTCTGCTTCAGTTTTCCTTTCACTCAAATCTGTACCTTTTTTAATGTATTAGTCACTTGACTGTGTAAATGCTGTGTCAAATCTATAGCCTGCATTACCAATCAAGTTCTCTGACGTCAGTAAGAGCAGGAACAGCAAAAAACTTCCAAGGCTGCAGAACTTACTTTAAAAAAAAAAAAAAAAGCAAAACACCACGGACAAATCTGCAAAACAAGAATACACAGCATGTACCTCCATTGTGAAATGATCACTTTCCCAAGCCCCATAAATACACCACTCTTTCTGAAGTGCTTATATGCCAACAGTACTACTTCTTCTGAATTTACTTCTTAGGGAGACCTTAGTGGATTATTTTAAGACGTCACAGTGTTAATTGACAAAGTCTCCCCTTACCATTCCCAGTGACCTTATGCACAGATCATTCACAGGTGAGGAAGAAAACTCATACTAAAATCATGCCAATGAAAGCTCCTACTAGGGAATCCAGAATAATCTTAAAACGCTGAAGTACAACTTGCCTGCAAGCAGCTGCCTTCACAATGAATGGACTGGCAAACAAATAGCCATTTCCCTGTGGCATACACTCACAGTGTCCAGCACACTGCAGCTCGGGGCTTCATGAGCTAGCTACACCTTTGTGTGCAAGTGCCCACCTCTGTATGTGAAGGTCTGAAGAACTGATCAGGTCATGGAAGCTTTTAACATATACAACACCAGCACCAACACTAGTGCTGCTGCCTCAGCTCTTTAACAAGTAGGTTTTCTCTACACTTGCCTCTAATGTTCACCCACCTAAGTGGGACAGCGGTGTCCCCGTTCTAGCCAATACATGTCTTGGGGCACTTTCCTTCAGCAAGATCATACGAAACACCAATACTCAATTGCAACAACAAAAGCTGTCATCAACAGTAAGTTCAGAGTTTTACTCAGGAAATCTTTACCAGATAATCCAAAATTTTGATTGACATTCATTTAAATGTTATGGTAATTTTGAGAAGTTTTTAGGTAATGAAAACTCATTAAATTCAACAAACAAGTGCACTGTAAATTAGTAGTCCAGCCAAGTACAGTCAACTTCTGAGGACAGTATTAATTCTGGAGTTATGTTTTCCATCAGTGCATTTCTTCAAACAATTATCACTCAACCTTCCCAGAATCTCTCCTCTCAAATTTTCACCTCAATAGTGCCAGATAGAAGTCCAGAACACCCAGCTACCTTAGGGCTGTCACCACAAGTGAAACCTTCAATATACTTTATCTCAGGCTCTTAGATCTAGGATCTTCTCTGGGCCTCAACCATTTTGCAGAATTGGAAACTGAAGATATTCAGACAAATGACAATGTCAACTGCCCCACAGAAATGGACTACACAAAGGCGGGTAGCAAGACTGTGCATGCATCTTTATTCATAGCCATGACTGCTTTGCTACATATTCCATTTAAGATATTTTATTTTTTAAATTAGGCCAACCATCATTTCACTAGAAGAGACAAGTTCCCTGCTCTTCTCATAGACAGGAAGGCACACCAGCATACACATCTCCATTTGATAGGTACCAAGTCCACTTCAGTAATAGAATCCTCGACCCAGAAACCATTAAATCCCCTGTCCCAAAACCAATTGCACGCAGAACTCAGAATCTGACTTGCACCCGGAAATGCATCTGCTTGGTGGCATTGTTACTCATTCCTGTCTTGAGCATCCACTTTGACTTCATCCTTTGCAGGTACTGCATATCACGCCGCTGAGCAAAGACTGCCCCTTCAGGGAGAGAGGAGGACGAGAAAGGAGGGTAAGTGTCTGTAAGCTTATGTACTACTTACATGCAAACCAGCTAATCCATCCATTTACTTCAACAGTTAGCTGTATGTTTTCCTTCCCGTACTGGCACACTTCTTTTCACTTTTCTCTTGGGAAAGGCCAGTTCCCTGGATGAATACCCATGACTGTGATCAAGGGAAAAGGTTGTTTTGCATTCCAATGTGCAATTCTTTTTTTTCAAAAGTGCATATAGATCACACTGCTGCTCCCCAACTGGTAAAGTATTCTGTCAAAGGTTTGACAGGCAGAAACCAGCAAATCTTAGGAAGCCACCAAATATCACAAGTATCACACACGCTAACGAACTGAAGAGTTGCACAGAAGCCGCAATGGATTTTAGACACGAATTCCTATAACTTATTCTGCTTGGATGTCAGGAATGAAAGGGAACTAAATGGAAGACAAACTACTGCATAAAAACCCCACAAATGTGAAACAAACTTGACCTATTTAGTTGTAGAGTGATGACATCCTAGAACCAACTCCTCTGCAAAACCTCACATTGTCACTTACCTGTCTGACTTGTCCAGCCCAAAGCTCTGTACTGCTGTAAGACCCGACCCACTGCTTTCTTATTTTTAACAACAGCCACCGTTCTTGACAGACCAAACCGTTGCTTGTAGTATCTCATTAGAGAACGATGACCCACTCTTGCACCTGTTCAGAGGAGGGGACATCTTACTATGCATAATGAAGCAGCTTCTGAAATGCAGTACTCAAGCATATTGCGAAAACTATGCTGAGAAATGCTTTGAAAAGGCCCAGAACCTTAAAAACTTCAGGACTATTAGGAACTTCATGCAATTACTGCAAGAGTTGCTGTACTGCACTCTATCACAAAAAAACAACCCCCAACAAACAGAAACCCAAAGAGTGCTGTTTTAAGAGGGCTTTAGCTCAGATAACAAACAGGCAGTTGTCAGAAAAGAAAATTTTTATTAGGGGAATGAGCAGAGAGGCAATACTGTTGCAAGTAACCAGGGAAGTAACTTGCTGACATTCAGAAAATCTTCTGTAACTGCATAGTTGGCAGCACTTTTCAGAATGAAAAGGCTGAGGTGCCCTCATACAAAAATCACCAAAACAAAAAAAAACCTGCAAGCAAGAGTGCTAAATGCTATAAAGGCAAGAGTAAGGTTGTTTAAAGAAATTAATTTTACTAAACTAGTTTACTAAATTAGTTACCAAATGCATCTCTGCAAAGAAACTACACTAGATAACCAGTTCACATATACATTAAAGCTGAAGAAACTGAACTATGTGGTAGTGACAATGGAAGGTGAGGACAAAACCCCAAAGACACTTAGATGCAAAATTACATTTTCCCTTGCCAAAAGAAAAAAAACTTACAGTGATGACCTATGCTGCAGGTAATGGCTGCAGCTATGAGAAAAGCAGAGAAAGTATGTAGTAATGCAGATCCTGTGCCTACCTGAAGGAAGGATCAGCTCCATGGTGTCATCATCATAATCCAACTCTCTCTCTGCTGGGCGCTCTCCGGGCACCTCCGCATCCTCCCCATCCTTGTGATCAGGGTAACTGCTCCTGTGGAGGAGTAGCAGTACACGGTTTATACACTGTGAGCAGCCACAGTTATGTAGACCCATTACACAAAAGAACTGCCATGCACTGCTACAGCAAGCCACAAACGTTGTCACATTTCACCTACTTTGATTTGAGCATTCTTCTCAGTAGCACCCTGCCCTGAACAATGGCTGAAGACAAGGATCACCCTTCGTCCACCCGGTTCTCTAGCTCAGCACAGTTCTGCTGCTGTACACTTACAGCAACAAGCCACCACTGTGTGGCCCACCAGCTCTGCACAGCTACTGAACGAGCACCCCAAGAAGCTCCACTAAATCCACCTGTCACCAATAATAGGAGGTATCTCTGACAAAAATGCACACAGCTTGGGATAAGTTACAGAAAGTTCAACAAGAGGCCTCTAAAACACAGCAGTCCTGTTTAACTCCAGCTACTTAAAGGAAAAAAAAATCCACAGCATGTATTAAGCCCACAATCTGTCTAAATGGTAATGGAAGGGAGAGTTATGCCATTTTATGGTCTTTCCTGGTGCACTGAAATCTAAAGGCAGTAACAGCAAATGTACAAAACACAATTCAAAATATATTTTCAAGTAGGACTGGTATTAGTGGTCACAGAAGAACCAATCATGTTGTTATGCTTACCTAGAAAAGTGGTGAACGAGCTACGCAAAATAAGCATCAGAACCCAAAACAGGACTAAATTTTAAGAATGAGTAACAGTTTCTGATGTAATATTCAACGGTCCTTTTGTCTGTTCCCATCTGTGCTCCAGGCAAAGAAAAGCATCCTCACCTAAAATCATAGAAGTCTGCAAATTCCAGGGCAGCATCTCCATCTGTGAAGAGTTTGCAGTGGCTTTTATCATTCATGTGAGCCTGTACTGCTTCTGTAGAGTAGAAGGATTTTCCTTTTTCATTGCACCAGATGCAGATTTTCCCAATGCCAATCTTCTCTCCTGCAGAAAACATTGACACTTCTATTGGTCTGAATAGAGCTTCCCTAGTCAATAATTAACATTTCTGTGATGCAAGCTTCCCAGCTTGCAGGCAGAGACACCGAGGAAGAGCCTTGAGCTCTTCATTTCCAGAGAAGCCCTGCTGTTCCTATGCATTGACCCTATGGCTCCATCAGGGACAAGTCTGTGCATTTAAAAATTTCACATGACAAGGTATGTATCATTATATATTCTCAATAAAAAATGTCATACTTCCAATACAGTTTTCTATCTGATCCTCCAAAATTATTTTATTCTCATCATTATTTGTAGATTTCAAGGAACACATTTTTTTCTAGCTTTAATGCTCTCACAAGTATCTCACAAGTAAAGCGATGAAGCAAATACTTGCACGTTTTAGCAACAGAGATTTGTCCTGAATTTCATGTTAGCCGAACAACCTTCTCAGCATTAGAAAACTACGTGAGACCTACAGGGTACATGACCACATGTTTGCTCAGTGGGGTTTGCTCCCACTCTCCCTGGAAAGCCTGTGGTCCTGTTCACAATAAAAATACTGAACTAGGCAGTACTCAGGTTTTACACAAAAAAAAACCCAAAATATTTTAAATCATATCCAAGTGAAAATAAGCAATAATAGTATTTGATTATCCTGACCCAAAAAAACAGAGAATGTTTACAGGCATACCCAGGTACTTGATTAGCCCTCTGAGATCCACGAGGTACTCTACGTCTGGAATGAAGAAACTGTGAGCTTTTGTCATATGGGCCACATTTTTTGTGAGAGATCTTGAATGATGGGGACAGAACAAGCAGTCTGTGACTGGTATGGCCCCAACAGCAGGGATGACCTCTTCTTCTCCCACATTTTCCAACTCTTCTTCAGAGCTGGTGTCTTCATCAGAATCCATATCTTCCCAGTCTTTTAAAGGAAGTTTAAAAAAATATTTATTTATATGATTACTTCTCCCAAGCAAAACAAGTCCCAATTAAGTTAGAAAAAGTTATCATAGAAAATACTGCATCTCCTATTCTTACAGCCAAGTGCCACACAGTCACTTCCAGGTGCAAGGATATACTCTTGCCAGTAAAACACATTTCTTTGTAAGATATACAGCAAGGCTCAAGTCTGCTCATAAAAAAGTTGGCAGATCAGATATTTTTTCCCCTCCATTTTCTCAACCATTAACACTTCATTGCTGTTTCGAAGCCTTAAATTTAATTCATCACAGCACAAGAACACATGCACGGCTCATTAAAAACAATACAACTCTGTCAGAGTCATGAAAATACTCATTTCCAGCAGTGATTCAGCAGCGAGAGAAAACACACTCCTGTTCACACATAGATCTTTAACAACAAGGAATAACAAAGCCAGCTGTCACAGATACACTGTTATATGTTAGCATATACCAAGATATACTAACAATTTTACACATTTGCAAGATAACTGCAGAGCTCGTTAATGCACAGATGAACCAGCAATCTGATTATCCTGCTAGATGTGTCTAGAAATCTTTGTTAAGGAGTTCAGATGTGGGGCAGTGAGCATTTCCCAGTACTCTCTTCCTACTGGTCCCCTTCCAACTGCCATGCGCACAGAGTGTTTGAGAACAGGGAACATGGTGCTCCCCGGTGTTGTAGGCTGCTAATTAGAGTTCTTTGCTATAGGATATAGTTTAATAATTTTAAAAGCCTGACACCAAATTAACAGGACTTGTAGGAAACATTCCTGGACAAACACTTAAAAGGAAAATTAACATTCAGAAACCTGCTGAGATTTTGGCATCACAATTTATGACTAGCATGTTAATACAAAACAGGTGCAAGTTGGTTCCTTCTTTAGATGTTAAGATGCATGTTCAGAGGCCTATGTTTCTTCTGTAGAATAGATTCCTTGAATTGCAACTGAAATTTCACCAGCATAAAACTACTGTAACAGATGTAATAATGTGACACAATGGTTTTGTTAACGAAGCTGGCATAATATGGTCCCACTTCGTTCATACCTGTCCCATTGCTGCAGTTTAATCACCCCATTCAACTGCTCCAATTTGGAGCTGCACTGTAAACTACACCACTAAAAGCATCCAGGTTAAAAATAACCCTCTTCTGGGAATTCTGAAGCTCTATCTTTTCAGTTGCCCACGTTCCAGGCTGACCTCCAACAAAGAGCTCTATCTACACAAGTCGTGAGGGTGAAGCAACAGGAACAGGCAGCTGGGGTGGCAACTCTTAAACCAATTTTGATATAGATGCCAGCATATTGAGAAGCTATGCCACAGTGCCAGGCTAAGGAGCAAACTTTCTCTTCTGGTCTTGATGGGCAAAGAAAAACAAAACCAACCCCACTCCCACCTCCCTTCAACAGATCAGTAAAGTGATTTGATGGGACAACAGCAAATGATCATGATTGGATTTCTGTTCACCTATTTTTCAGAAGTAGTTTTAGGGTAACCTTTTATGTTAGCCTTCTTTAAAGGAAGTTCCCCCTGGAATTTTACATGGGAAATAGTGCTCATATTAGTAATTGTTGGAAATAGTGCTCATATTAGTAATTGTTTCTATTCACCCTTCACAAGCGTTAGTATCTTGTGCAGCCGGCAGTTCAGACACTAACACAGAGCCCTTGGCTGCAAGTACAGGCCAACCATAACTCCTTCGTTAAGCTGAAAATTTAATCAACTGGAAGACCTTTTGTGATGGAAAATGCTGTACTAATACAGAAACAGAAGGAAGCTTTTACACAAAACCAACAGCTACACAGCTTACCCCAAGCTATCTCTTGTCAGTATGTTTATTGCCTTACCTTCTTCCGTATCCTCTTCTTCCTCTGCTTGTTGTTTAGCCAGCCTCTTTGCTTGCTGTTCAAACCACTGTAGCCGTGGAGGTTTTTCTGATCGTTCTCTACTCTGTGATAAGCTGGTGCTTCCTGCAGAAACTGGAGAGCTACTTGCCCTACTAGGAAGTAAAGGTGTCTTCTTCGGAGACGAAGATGGCTGAGCTCTGATGGCTTGCTGGATAGCTGTGTTCATTTCATCTTTGTTTACACTCTCTGGGGCCAGCCCCTTTTCCAGGTTCTTTTCATTTAATATTTTCACCTTCTTGCTGACAGCTTGAACAGCTTTCTTCTCCAACTCCAGGTGCTTCTTGGACTTCAAGTGATTCTCATAGGCATTGAAGGTGGAGAATCTCTTGCTGCAAACTGTACAGTAAGTGGCAGTGATTTTGTTCTGCTCCTCTGCTACTGCTCTCTGCGCTAGGACTCTCTCTTGGAAATTCTCAGCAGTGACAGGAGGCATCTCGGCAACCTTACGCTTCAGGTTGTATCTATGCCAGTCAGTTTTGTAATGGGCACGCTGAATGTCAGCATCTTTGAAAGCCACACGGCAAGTGATACAAGTGTAGGTTGCCATTACTAGAAAGTGGGGAAAAAATAATAATCACACTAAAAAAGATAAGTAACAGCCATAAAATACCCATACACAACATCCTGACAGCACCCACGTAATGCAGCACAAGATATACAATTCTTGTACAGAATTAAATTTATTAAACACTAGTATTAGCAAACAGCATGTTACATACTAGAAGAAGCAAAAGAAGAAAAAATAAAAGACTTTGATACAGTTATCAGAGATTACTCCTACCACAGGAGCATCTAAGCATCCCAGCTCTGGACTCAGCACCCACAGTGCTAGTCAGGGCTTAGTCACAGGATGAGAGGGTTCCCAGCCTTAGCAGCAGTGCTTCGAAACCTCTGCACTTTTTACTGAAGATCAGAAGCTAAAGGTTCCTTATCAAGTTCATGTTCTGCCAACTATAGGCTTTTGAAGAGAGTAGTGATTGCTCCAAAGCAAGGGTAAAAAGGGAAAACCTGCTTTCACACCTATTTTCCATTTTTTTGCAGTCTTACCAAATGGGGGGAAAAAACCCCAAGTTATCGCATTTAAAAAATAAAACCCTCTCAGCTATTTTGGAGCAGTGCATGTACCGTTGACAACGCTATACCCTGCAGAACTGTTAGCCTGGAGACACAAGTCAGTTGTGCCTAGATCTAGTGCTTGGAGCCACTGATATCCTGGTCTTCCTCCACTTCCCACCATCCAGCTGAGCTGCATTACTGGGGCTGTCAGAGGACAACTGGAGGGCAGTGACCTGTAACTGATGCTGTCCTTTCCAAAGCCACACATTTCCTTGCTTTTCAGTGCTTAATGAAACTTTGTTTAAGAAAAAGTTGATGGAATCTCTTGAACACTCCAAAAACAAAGAACAAAAAAGCGTGTTCTAACTGGAGATCACTAAAGCCACTCCCATCTTTTAACTGATTTAGAAAAACTATAGTTTAATCTGGAAAAAAAAAAAGCAATAATACATCAGAAGGAGGGGGTCTGAGAGCAGGTAGAGGTACAACACTCCCTCCCAGAAGCTACCAACAGGGACAATCAGAGGTGAAAGACACAAACACACAGACTTGAAACGAACTTTATGAAAAGCTTATTCCCTGGAAGAACCAGACTTCTAATTCACTGCTTGTGCTATCTGTAATCCTACAATGACAGAAAATGCATTAACAGAAAATAAAGGCCATATGATTTTATCTAAAATACTGTAAGCATCCGTTCAGTCTAACAAATGCTTTTTGTTTCGCAGGAAAACATAGTCTCTGCCCATTGAGGGATTCCGATTAAGGTCTGAAGCATTCCCCTCCCTATCTCTATCCTAGACCTCCCTATCCCTTTCCTAGACCAAGCAGGTATTTTCCTGCCACAAACCAACTGATGCTGAATCACGTTTGCTGTTAATCACAAACTCCTTGCAGAAACCTCAGGGGTAGAACAGTTTGGGCCAGCCTGTTACAGGTAGGCAGTAGATATGCACTGGATTACACTGGGGGTGATTAAAAAAAAACCTCAAAAACAGATCAGAAAAAGAGGTATGTAACTGAGAGGATCTAAAACCATACACCTTCCCATTTGACTACTAAGTGGAGAAATAACATTTACAATTCAAGCTGCATAAAGCACAAAAATCTCCTGCCGAAGCCAGGTAGTTACGCCAGCACTTCCCATTACCCACGTGCATTTTCACCTACCATTTTAACCCACAAAACCGCCACACAGAACCTTCCCCTGTATGGGGCTCAGGAAAACAAGACTTGAGGCACTCACAAGTCTTCAGCCCAAGGCACATCCAAGTCCTTCCAGACTAATCTCGTTCTCCCCGCAGTGTCTTTATTACCCCCGACGTTAGCCGCTTTTATCCCGACGTTAGCCGCTTTTATCTGAATTTAAATTGAGCCGGTGCCCATAAGACTGACGCAAGACGAAAAGCCCTGACTGACAGGCGGGTGTTTATTACAGGACACAAGAAGCGACAGCACAATTTAAACCCAGGACACAAAACGCAGCACCGCACAAGAAGGGGCGCAGGCGGCAGCCGCACGCCAGCGACT